AGATCGATGAGAATGTGTATAGATTATCGGTAGTTGAACAAGGTAACAATCAAGAATAAGTATCCATTGCCGAGGATTGATGATTTTTTTGATCAGCTTCAGGGTGACAAAGTCTTTTCAAAGATTGACTTGAGATCTGGCTACCATCAATTGAGGATTAGGGCATCCGATTTCCCTAAGACATCTTTCCGCACTCGGTACGGACATTATGAGTTCTTGGTGATGTCATTCGGGTTGACAAATGCCCCAGTAGCTTTCATGGATATGATGAAGCGAGTGTTCAAGCCTTATTGGATTCGTTCGTGATAGTCTTCATTGATGATATTTTGATCTATTCCCGCAGCCGGGAGGAGCATGAGCAGCATCTGAGAGTTGTTCTTCAGACTTTGAGAGATAGTCAATTGTATGCTAAGTTTTCGAAGTGTGAGTTTTGGTTGCGATCAATTGCTTTCTTGGGTCACGTTGTATCAGCAGAGGGTATTCAGGTGGATCCAAAGAAGATAGATGCATTCAAGAACTGGCCTAGACCCGCATCAGCTACAGAGATCCGAAGCTTCTTGGGTTTGGTAGGCTATTACCGTCGGTTTGTGGAGGGTTTTTCATCTATTGCAGCCCCGATGACCGGTTGACCTAGAAGGGTGCCCAGTTCAGGTAGTCGGACGAGTGTAAGGCGAGCTTTCATTGTTGGACTCCCACGGACTCAGAGGAAGTCCGATGCAGTGTGGGTTATTGTTGATAGGCTGACCAAGTCAGCACATTTCATTCTTGAGGCAATCTCCTATTCTTCCGAGAGGTTAGCTGAGATCTATATCCGGGAGATTGTTCGTCTTCATGGGGTGCCCGTGTCTATCATTTCGGATCGAGGTACGCAGTTTACCTGACATTTCTGGAGGGCAGTTCAACGTGAGTTGCGGGTCGAGCTGAGCACATCATTTCATCCTCAGACGGACGAGCAGTCCGAGCATATTATTCAGATTTTGGAGGATATGCTCCGGGCCTGTATTATTAACTTTGGAGGCTCGTGGGATCAGTTTTTGCCATTAGCGGAGTTTGCATACAACAACAGCTACCAGTCGAGCATCCAGATGGCTCCTTATGAGTCTTTATATGGTAGGCGGTGTCGGTCGCCGATTGGGTGGTTTGCGCTTGGAGAGGCTCGGTTGTTGGGTACGGATCTAGTACAGGATGACTTGGACAAGGTTAAGATCATTCAGGATAGGCTTCGTACAGCTCAGTCCAGGCATAAGAGTTATGCCGACCGTAAGGTTCGTGATGTGGCATTCATGGTCGGCGAGCGGGTGTTGCTTCGGGTGTCGCCTATGAAGGGCGTGATGAGATTTGGAAAGAAGGGCAATCTAAGCCCTAGACTCATTGGTCCTTTTGAGATTCTTGATCGAGTGGAGAGGTGTCTTATAGACTTGCGTTGCCGCCGAGTTTATCAGTCGTGCATCTAGTGTTTCATGTGTCCATGCTTCGGAAGTATCACAGCGATCTATCCCACGTGTTAGACTTCAGCACTGTCCGGTTGGACAAGGACTTGTCCTTTGAGGAGGAGCCGGTAGCCATTCTAGACCGGCAGGTTCGTCAGTTGAGATCGAAGAGTTTCCCTTCTGTTCGTGTTCAGTGGAGAGGTCAGCCTGTTGAGACAACGACCTGGGAGTTCGAGTCCGATATGCGGAGCCGATATCCCCATCTTTTCTTCGACTCAGGTACTTTTCTTATGTATGTTCGAGGACGAACGATTATTTTAGAGGTGGAGAATATGATGACCCGAAAGCGGGTCATCACTCATTTTGAACGTAAATTCTATGTCCCGAGGCCTTAAAAACCTCTTTTTGTCTCACCTCTATTTGCGTGCTCAGTCTGAGCGCGTTTCCGGAAAGCTTTTATGTGGAAACTAAGAAACAAATAAGGAAATTGGCTTTTAAAATTGAATAAAGTTGACTTTGGTCAACATTCATGGTAAACGGATCCGGACCCGTGATCCGACGGTCTCGTAGGGTCCGTAGTTAAATATGGGACTTGGGCGTATGCCCGGAATCGAATTCCGTGGTCCCAAGCCTGAGAAATGAATTTTTGAAAGAAATTGTTTAACTGAAATTATAAGAGTTTTTGGAAATAAAAAGATGTTTGAAATCGAGCCCGTATTTTGGTACCGGAGCCCGGTACAGGTCTCATATAATAATTAAGTTGAATCTGTGAAGGTTGGTAAGATCGGAATTGATTTGGTATAAATCGGACGTATAGTTGAGAAAATAGAAATTTTGATGTTCTTGAGCAATTTTATGAATTTGAGGTTTAATTCATAGTTTTTGATGTTATTTTGATGATTTAATCGCACGAGCAAGCCGTATGATGTTTCTGAACGCGCGTCCATGTTTGGTTACGAGCCCCGAGGGCTCGGGTGAGTTTTGGATTGGCCACGGAGTGAAATTAGACTTAGAAAAACTGCTGGTGTATTGCAGATCTGCAGGCTTCGCAATTTCGAAGCCTGGCTGGCAAATGCGAGCTCGCATTTGCGACTAACCATCGCATTTGCGATGACTGGGCGGGGGGTGACCTTCGCATTGCGAAGCTCCAGTCGCAAAAGCGACTCCAATAGTGTTCGCAATTGCGAACGATCGTTCGCATTTGAGAGGTTAACAGGGCAGGCCTTCCTTCGCAATTGCGAAGCCTTGGCCGCAATTGTGAGTTCACATTTGCGAACATGACATCGCAAATGCGATATCCGCGCCTGTGTAAAATCATAACTTAGACGAAAATTCTTCATTTTTCAAACTCCCTCAAACCCTAAGCTCTCTTGGGCGATTTTCTAAAGAAAAGTTCTTCTCCAAATCAATTGTAAGTCGTTTCTAACTCATTTTCTTCAATCTATAACATCTTTTCACATGATTTCAATTCAAAATCAAAGGTTTTCATGGGGGAAATTGGGTGTTTTGGTAGAACTTAGGATTTTCAAATTTTTGGGGATTCAGACCTCGATTTGAGGTCCAATTTCAAAACAAATTACATATTTGAGTTCGTGGGTGAATGAGTAATCGTGTTTTGGTTCGAACCTCGGGTTTTGACCATGTGGGCTCGGGGTCGATTTTTTACTTTTTGGGGAAATCATTGGAATACCTATTTTCATGCATTAGAATTGATTCATTTAGCATTTATTGATATCGTTAAGTAAATTGTGGCTAGATACAAGCGAATTGGTGGTGGAATTAAGAGGTAAATCGGTAGTTGAGGCTTGAATTGTGTTTATGGCTTTGAGGTAAGTGTTTGGTCTAACCTTAGCTTGAGGGATTAGGAGTTGTGTCTTATTTGCTATGTGTTAATTGTTGTGTACGACGTATAGGTGTGGTCACGAGTATCTATACGTCGGTGTCAAGCATGCCCGTGAGTGTTATATTATGATTGATGTGACTCTGTTTGTATTGTTCATGCTTAATATGACGATTTCTAATGTTGAACAAAGTTTATGGAAGTATTCTTGGTAATTGAACGTTGTAGAGCATTGGCTCAAGTTGAGAATTGAGTTGTGAAGTAATTGTGGAAAAGAGAAGAGGTTTATGATATTGTCTCCCTTGCCGGGATGTTATTGCTTTTGATATTGTCTCTCTTGCCAGGATATTATTAATATGCTATTGTTCCCTTGCCGGGATCCTATTGTGATATTATTGATTCCCTTGCCCAAATTGCTTTGTGATTGTTGCTTGGGTGAGGAAGAGTGTAAAGCACGAAGGTTGATGTCGTGCGTGATTTTGAGAGTGTTAATGCACGAAGGGTGATGTCGTGCCGATATTGTGAGGTAAAAGCACGAAGGGTGATGCCGTGTCGCACGATGTACAATGCTGTGCCATGATATGAGTGATAATGCACGAAGGATAAATCCGTGCCATGATTATGTGAGGTAAAAGCACGAAGGGTGATGTCGTGCCGATTCTATTGATTCTTATGGTGAGGATGAGAGTAAAAGAACGAAGGGTGATGCCGTGCACGTGTTATTGAGTTCCTGCTTCTTGCTGATAATTGAATTATGGCGTTCTTTACATTTCCCTATTGGTTTTCTATTGCTACCTGATATTCCCCGCAACATGTTTCCCCCTTCTATCTTTAACTGTAAATATTTGCCTTTATTTTTCCGCTGTATATGATTTAACTGCACAGGTTTATTTGGTAGTCTCGTCCTAGCCTCGTCACTACTTCGCCGAGGTTAGGCTCGACACTTACAAGCACATGGGGTCGGTTGTGCTGATACTACACTCTGCACTGTGTGCAGATCCCGGTGCTGCAGCTTTTGGACCACAGTGAGGTTGCTACCTTCAGTCCAGTGGCGGAGACCCGAGGTAGTCCTGCAGGCGTCCGCAGGCCTTGGCGTCTCCTTCTACCTTTCCATTCTGTTTCTTTTATGTATTTCAGAGACAACTTTGTATTTATCTTTCAGACCATTGTTTGTAGTATTCGTAGATAGTCCGTGACATTGTGGCACCAAATTCTGGGTAGATTTGTATGTTGGATTCCACGCTAGTATATGGTTAAACTATTAGTTTTCGTCTTCCACATTTCTGTTTATGATAATTATTCCACTGTTGATCTCCTATTATATTGAACTGTTAAAAAGGCTTAGTAAAGCGGTTAATGAATCTATAATACTCGGTTTGCCTAGCTTTCACGAGTAGGCGCCATCACGACTCCCGAGGGTGGGAAATCCGGGTCGTGACACAAGAACATGTGGCAAGCCTTCTGGAAGGGAAGAGATAAATGGCAAGAAGCTTTTGAAAAGTGGAAATTGCTTTGCCACGTTCCTTTCCCTCAGCATATGATTCCATGCACATGTGCCTATAAATAGGCTCTCAATTGGACAAGAAATCATCATCAGCAAGACAAAAAGAAATCCTTCTTCTCTTTCCTTCTAATTTCATTATTCACCAACTTCCCTTTGTTGTCTTTTTCCTTATTGCAGTATTATCATCGTTATTTTCCGATGTCATTTTCCTACAATCTAAGAAACTATGGCAAGTAATACTACTACGGAGATTTTTGATGATGCTATAAATTTTGGTGTTTTCTCTGCTGCTACTGTTCCAGCTGTCCTACCAGATATCCATGGTGTTGCAAATACGTTATTGCAAACACTAATGTCAAAACACAGGTATGTGAATAGACATGGTTACATATCCAATACTAATATTAAAACCATCAAGAAAAATGCACCTCAATGCTATAGAAGAGTTGGGAAAAATGGCAATCTCGCTAACTCAAAATTTAATTTGACTAAAGCGGCTAATATAGTTGTTGCGGTTATTTCCCAAATAAATAATGTGGCCAATGTGAGAAATTGGGTGATAGACTCTGGTGCTACTAGGCACATTTGTGCAAACAAAAATGAATTTTTGTCTTACACCCAAGTTGAGGAAGGAGAAGAAACTATTTATCTTTGTGACTCAAGAACAACTCGTATTTTTGGGAAAGGAAAATTCTTCTTAAACTCACATCTGGTAAAACTCTAGCATTGAGTGATGTATTGCATGTTCCTAATATCCAAACCAATTTGATTTCTGTGGAGTTATTAGAAAAAGTTGGAGTGAAGGTTTCATTTGGAAATAATGAGGTCGTATTGACCAAAAATGATATTTTTGTGGGCAATGGATATTGTAACCATGGTTTATTTGTGCTTAATATTTTTGATACCAACAACAAAAATGCATCTTCTTCTGCTTATATGGTTGAGTCAATTTCTTTGTGGCACGCTAAACTAGGACATGTTAATGTCGCGTATATAAAGAAAATGCAGTCGTTAGGATTAATATCTAGTTTAGACTCAAATAACATTAACAAGTGTGAAATATACGCTGAAGCTAAAAGTACTAGAAAGACTTGTTTTTCTGTAAATAGAGAAACCGAATTATTGTCCTTGATTCACACTGATTTAGGCGATTTAAAGCATACTATGACTAGAGGTGGTAAAAAGTATTATGTGACATTTATTGATGATTTTTCTAGATATACTAAGTTGTATTGTCTTAGAAATAAAGATGATGCTTTTAATGCTTTTATTTCTTATAAAATTGAGGTTGAAAATCAACTTAGTAGAAAAATCAAGAGAATTAGATTTGATAGAGGTGGAGAATATTTATCTTTAAATAATTTTCGTGAAAAGAATGGAATAATTCATGAAGTAACTCCACCTTATTCACCTGAGTCAAATGGAGTAGCTTAAAGAAAAAATAGAACAATGAAAGAGATGATGAACTTTATGTTAGTTAGTTCTAATGCCCCTGATAATTTGTGGGGTGAAGCTATTTTATCTGCATGTCACTTACAAAATAGAATACCGCATAAAAGAATCGGCAAAACTCTTTATGAATTATGAAAGGGTTATATACCTAATCTGAAATATTTAAAAGTGTGGGGGTGCCTTGCTAAAGTTCTTTTGCCTGAACCTAAAAAGAGAAAAATAGGTTCTAAAACTGCTGATTGTATGCTTATTGGATATGCTGAAAATAGTGTTGCATATAGATTTTTTGTTTCAAAAAGTGATGTGCTTGATTGTAATACTATTGAGACAAAGAATGCTGAGTTCTTTGAATATATTTATCCATTGTCTGATGAAATTTCTCATACACCTGTTGAAACGAATAGTGAAATTACCTCTAATGAGGAACTGAGAAGGAGCAAAAGTCCTAGGAAAGAATATTTTTCTTATGGAAATGATTTCAAACTTTTCTTGGCGATAATGAACCATCAAATTATTTTGAAGCTATATCTTCTTTAGAAGCTAATTATTGGAAAGAGGCAATAAAAGTTGAAATTGATTCTGTTATGAAAAATAATACATGGTAACTGACTTACCTCCTCGTGAAAAACCTATTGGTTGTAAATGGATTTTCAAAAATAAATTTAATCTTGATGGATCTTTAGATAAATATAAAGCTCGGTTAGTAGCAAAAGGTTTTTCTCAAAAATAAAATATAGATTATTTTGATACATTTGCACCAGTGACAAGAATTTCTTCTATTCGAGTTTTAACTGCCTTAGCTTCAATCTATAAGCGTTCTATGCACCAAATAGATGTCAAAACTGCTTTTCTAAATGGTGATTTAGAAGAAGAAATTTACATGGTTCAACCTGCAGGCTGTGTCATTCTTGGACAAGAAAATAAAGTTTGTAAATTAGTTAAATCTCTTTATGGCCTTAAACAATCTCCTAAGTAGTGGTATGAGAAATTTGAACACGTCTTACTAAGAGAATGTTTTTCTTCAGTTGAGGTGGATAAATGTGTTTATACTAAAGTGGTATACTGATGTTCTAAACGTCAATACCACACAAGAGGGGGGGGGGGTGATTTGTGTGGTACCCAATTTTCGATCTAGAAGAACCAGGTTCTTCTAAGTGATCTAACTACTACTGTTTGCGGAATTAAAAGTACATAAAATAAAGAACACAGAGATTTTTACATGGAAAACACCTGGCTCAAAAGGTGAAAAAACCACGACCTACTACTCAGTAGGATTTTCCCAAACTTCCACTAAAATTACTGAGCCAAAACAATATTTACAAAAACTCTTTGTAAACCTAAGGATTAACTCTAATCCCTTTGTAGCACACAGCCTCAACCGTTGCAACAACTTCAAGTTAGCCTATAACTTGAATACTCAAAGTACCTATTACAATTGCTTCTATAAAAGCTGAAAGGTACACTTTAATCCACCTACTACAATTGAACTAGAAATAAAGAAAGACACATAAAACTCTTTATGGAGCTGGTTCTTCAATCCTGTTCAAGTAGCTTCAGGAGTGCACACTTAAGTAAAACTAAATTGTTTGCAAAATCGCCTTGCTCTTTTGCTCTCAATTTAGTTTTACTTCTGCGTATGTGCAACACCTGTAAAAGAGAACAATCACTGTTATTTAAGAGTTAGTAATTAGAGTTTGATTGAGACTCAATTGCTGATCTTCCATCGAAATTGAGTCCTTGAACAACACAAACTCCAACCCTATCTTTTATCCGGATTGTATTCTCTTCTCATAAGGAGACTTTCTCTCTTTATCCCATATGCAACCTTTTTGATCAGTTCAGGAGATATTGATGCTTGATCAATGGGACTTATCTCCTTCACATGCATTTCACATGTATAGGTTGACAAACACTGTGCTTCACATGATGGACCTGGTCCATGACTGAGTTCATTTGTCATTCTTCAAAACTTCACCTTTTCTTGGGCCAACAAATTCCCTCTTTTTGATGATGACAAACTCTGTGCTTTTTACTGATCAAAGAACCTGTAAGAACTCAGCTTAACCAACAACACTTAACTTAGAAATTTTACTTATCATCAAGGACCAGGTTGATTAGGTTATAAATATCACTTAAATCAGAATAATGAGTAAAGCACAATATCTCTTCCCCCTTTTGGCATCATCGAAAAGTTGCATACACAGTGTGAATCCCAGATTTTAATAAGTACTCATGGCCACTGGGGCAACTGCAAGTGAAATCATTGTGCAATTATCAATAATCAACAAACATATTTAATCTATCAAGATCAGAATCATCAGTGAACAAGAGAAAACAGCAGTTGTCATTGATAGAGATATGATTCCACAAACAGACCACAAAAAGAAAGAAAAACTTTTAAAACATGAGCAAAAAACAGAAACATCCCTAATCTGGGTCACTGGGGGTACTAGACTGGTTCAGAAGACAAGTGTTAGGAGACCTAAGGCTTGGAAGAACTAGAGGGTTGATATTGGAGAAGGTTCAGCATATTCTGAAGCATTCCATCACTCTTCTCCTTTTCTTTGGCTAGCTCAATTCTAAGGCCATCTCTCTCAGTTTCCAATTCAGCCACACGAGCCTTGAGCCTAGCAATTTCATCATCCTTAGTGCCACATTCCTGAACCAAAGCCCTAACCTTGCTGTTGATGGGTGTCCTCAGAGATGAACCAGGTTCAACTGGGATGGCATTGACTGGATAGTCACAAGCCAGCAGGGTCTTAACACAAAAATGTTCCTTGCTTGATGCCATTTCCCATTTCTTCAAAGGCACATTCAGCCTGTCCAGAACTGTAGTCAGTATGAACCCATATGGAGTGGCATGAGCCTTGGAGCCATTGATGACCTTGTCTAGCAATTTGACAATGAAAGCAGGCCAGTTGATTTGCATTCCTCTCACTAGGCACTCCATAAGAACCAGGTCCATGTAATTTGCAGTGTGCCTTCTCTCCTGTCTAGGCAATAGACACTTGTTGACAAATTCAAACAAGACCTTGTGCTCAGGCCTCATTTCACTTTTCTGCACAAATCTGGCTTCAGGCACATCTCTAGAGTCACAGAACCTTCTAGTGATTTCAAGAGCAGTAGGGAGAGAATCCAGGCATGGCCACCTTTGCCTTGTATAGTCATCATACCCTTCAGTAGGTATGTCCAGGATCTCATCCAGTTTGAGTGCATCAAACTTCACTTTGACTCCTTTCACCAGGCTGGTGACTACTCCATCTTTCACAGCAGCATTGGCCATAAATTTAATCAGTTCATTCCTGGCCAGCCTCCCATCCATTTCAAGGACCATGTCGTTCCAACCTTGTGCAGCTAAAGCATCCACCAGTCTCTTCATCCCTGATTTTTCCAGGTCCTTCAACAGTCTACCTTTCAAGATTTTTCTTCTGCCAAAAATGGCAAGCTTGTCCTGTTCCTGTTCAGATTTCTCTCCTTCTTCTTCTCCACTCCATTCATCATCTTCTTCAGTAATTTTCACCTGCTTGCCTTTCACTGCAGATCTTGTCCTCTTGGATAATGAGGGTTCAGCAGACACAGGTACAGAGGAAGACTTCTTGGAAGAAGTCTTGGACTTTTTAGGTTTTGGTGTAGAACCTCCACTGTTGTTCACCTTTCTTGATGGACCAGTTCCATCTCCTCTTCTTCTACAACCTCAGAGGATTCAGCAACCTTTCTCTTTCCCTTCTCCATTTTCTTTTTCTTGCTTTCTTCCAGAGCTTTTTTTAGGTCAGCTTCACTTTGTCTTACCCTGCTTCTTGTAGCTTTTCCCTTAGGCACTGAAGGGGCAGTAGATTTTGGGGATGAAGGTTTTCTTTTCTTGGTTGGTTAGGGTACATTTTGGGCCTTTTGTGAGGTAGCTTTGCGTTTCTTTTGGTCATAACTTGCCCCAACCTTTTTCAGAAGATCGGCCAGGGTTTCCTCAGCAGATGAACCAGGTTCATCTCTTTGTTTGCTTAGATGAACCAACCCTTCAGCTGCTTCCCTAGAGCCACTTCCCCCTGACTTTATGCCACTCTCTTCTGCACCCCCACATATAGCAAGAACTGCTCCTTTACCTTTTCCCCTCTCTTCACCACTTGCTCCCTCTCTCTCTTTTCCTTTCTTTTTACCTCCACTCCTACTCGATTCAGCCAACATTACATCTCTAACAGGTCCAACTAGAACAAACCTATTTTCTACGTTTTCAGCCACAGAAGAACTTACCTCAGGGGTTTCTTGAATTTTCTCAGTGTCAGAAGACCCATGTCCTTCACCTTCACTGGCAGATATAAAGGATTCAGAGTCAGACTCTTGAGCTGGGCTTTCTTTCATCTGGCTAGCTTTCAATCTCTCATTTAAAACTTCCTCAGAGCTCCAGATGTTACAGTTTTTCTAGCCAACATTTTCTGCCTTCGAAGCCTAGGTTTTGGGGATTCACTAGGAGGAGTAGATGAGGATGAATTTGAGGGTGATGGTGGTGGAGGAGTGCCAAGATGATCTTGTGGGTTAGACATGGTTGATTGTTTCTTGAGAGAATTTGGGAATTTCTGAAGAAGAGAAGCGATTAAAACTGGAGAAATATTTTTGACGATTTTAGAATAATAAAGAAGATTAGATATGTGGTGTGTATTTAAAGGCAATTTGACATTAATGCAGTAACGGCAGCTTTTCAGGGGTCAATTAGAAGTCTAATCAAGGTGTAATTCCAGGCTTTTAATGATTTTTTTGGCTTCCCTAGATATTAGGCAAAAATTACGATTTTTTAGAGTTCTAAATGAACGAAACTGGTTCAATCCCTCAATGGATAGAATTTTCTAGGAATTTGGCAAGTATAGGACTTCTGCTCATGATTGAATTGTTAATCTTTCTAATTATGCAAAGTATCGAAAACATACCTGAACTTTCATATGAACTCATACTGATGAATCAGGTTCTTCATATAGAACTCTCTTGAACATGCCTCAAATGCCATAATAGAAAAAACTTTGTAAGAGATCAGGAGTCATATGTACACATGTCACAGGAGTATACTAACTAAACTATGAAACTGAGTAAGAATTAATCTAGATATTTACACAAAGTTAGAACTCCTAACCAAAATTTTTTTTTTTTAATTTTTTTTTTCATTGTGCATTCTGAACTGGACCTATTAGGTGATCTTAATCATCCCTAATTCCAACCTGTTCCTCTCAAAGTTTTCTCTACTCAGTGCTTTAGTGAAAATGTCAGCAATTTGCTTATCAGTAGCACAGAATTCTATAGAGATCAGTCATTTCTCATAGTTATCTCTTAAGAAGTGGTGTCTAACATCTATGTGCTTAGTCCTCTTATGATGAACATGGTTCTTTGTCATACTTATAGCACTAGTGTTATCACAGAATATTGGAATACAACCAACTTCAATACCAAAATCTACCAGTTGCTGTTTGATCCATAGCAATTGAGCACAACAAGAGGCAGCAGCAACATACTCAGCTTTAGTAGTAGATAAGGCCACTGAGTTTTGCTTTTTGGTAGCCCATGACACAAGACATGAACCAAGGAAGTGTGCCATACCTGAGGTTCTCTTCCTATCCACTAGAAAACCTGCATAATCAGCATCAGCATATCCTACTAGATTAAAATTGCTACCTTTGGGATACCAAAGACACAGATCAGTGATGCCTTTCAAGTATCTTAGTATCCTTTTGACAGCAACCGGGTGAGATTCTTTAGGATTAGCCTGAAAGCGAGCACAAAGCCTTACACTGAACACAATGTCAGGTCTGCTAGCAGTAAGATACAGAAGAGAGCCAATCATACCCCTATACAACTTTTGATCAACAGATGAACCAGGTTCATCAACATCTAATTTAGTGGCAGTTGCAATAGGTATGTCTATTTCTTTAGATTCTTCCATTTTAAACTTTTTGATTAGCTCCTTTGCATACTTTTGCTGATGGATCATGGTTCCATTTGGACTTTGTTTGATCTGTAAGCCTAAGAAGAAGTTAAGCTCACCCATCATGCTCATTTCAAACTCACTCCTCATTAATTTGGCAAAGTCCTTACTTAGCTTATCAGTAGTGGCCCCAAAGATTATGTCATCCACATATATTTGTACAACAAGGAGAACCTTACCTTTTTCCTTTAAGAATAAGGTACTATCAATTTTACCTCTCTTGTAACCATGCTCCGGCAGAAATTTTGACAATCGTTCATACCATGCTCTTGGAGCCTGCTTGAGTCCATAGAGAGCCTTGTCTAACTTGTACACATGCTCAGGACATTCCTTGCTCTCAAACCCTGGAGGTTGTTTCACAAACACTTCTTCTTTCAGTTAGCCATTTAGGAAGGCACTTTTGACATCAATCTGATGAAGAGTGAATTCCATATGTGCTGCAAAGGCTATGAGAAGTCTGATTGCCTCTAGTCTTGCAACTGGAGCAAAAGTCTCATCATAATCTATGCCCTCCTCCTGGCTGTAACCTTGAACCACCAGTCTTGCCTTGTTTCTTGTAACAGTTCTATCTTCATCAAGTTTGTTCCTAAAGACTCATTTTGTACCAATAACTGATCTATCATTGGGCCTTGGATCTAGATGCCAAACTTGACTTCTCTCAAATTGATTGAGTTCATCTTGCATTGCATTGACCCAATCTGCATCTTGCAAAGCCTGAACAACATTTTTAGGTTCAATAAGAGATACAAATGCATCAACAGCACACAGATTCTTTAATTGTGATCTAGTTTTGACTCCAGATGTTGGATCAGTGATAATGTTCTCAATGGGATGAGAACTTTGGTACTTGTGAGGTTTCACAACCAACTATTTTCTACTATATGTTTCTCCCATGTTCTGTTGCAGAGGAACAGGGTCATGAACAGGTTCCTTTAAGGAATTTATTTCAATTTCTCTTTGATTAGTTCCCCCTGTCAGGTTGCCCTGGATTGAAAAACCTGTTCCATTACCTGTTCCTTCGGTTGGTGCCACTTTGACTTATGCTGAAGCTTCAGTCAAGTCCTTTACCAATCCAATGGCTTCATCTTCATGTTCCTATCTCTCAGAAAGAATGTTAGTTTCATCAAATACTACATGTAAACTTTCTTCTACACACAAAGTTCTTTTATTAAACACTTTATATGCTTTGCTATGTGAAGAATATCCTAAGAATACTCCCTCATCACTTCTGGGATCAAACTTACCTAGGGAGTCTTTTCCATTATTGTGCACATAGCACTTACAACCAAATGCCCTAAGATGGGATATGTTTGGTTTTCTCCCTTTAAGTAACTCATAGGGAGTCTTCTCTACAAGAGGTCTAGTCATGCATCTATTGATTATGTAACATGCAGTGTTTACAGCCTCTGCCCAAAAACTGTGAGGCAGTTTACTAGAAAGAAGCATGGTCCTAGCCATGTCCTCAAGAGTCCTATTCTTTCTTTCAACTACTCCATTTTGTTGAGGAGTCCTAGGGGCAGAGAAATTAAGATCTATACCATTTTCATCACAGAATTCAGCAAACTTGGAATTTTCAAATTCAGTTCCATGATCAGACCTAATGGATGCAAGTTGATTTCCTAATTGTTTTTGAGTTTTTCTAACAAATGCAGTAAACATGTCAAATGCTTCATCTTTAGAAGTTAGAAATAGAACCCAGGTAAATCTAGAATAATCATCAACAAGCACCATTACATATTTCTTTCCACCTCTGCTCATGGTTCTCATTGGACCACAAAGATCCATATGGACCAGTTCTAACGACTTGGTTGTGCTTACCATTTTCTTGGTTTTGAAGGATAATCTTACCTGCTTCCCCTTTGCACATGCCTCACAAACTTTGTCTTCCATGAACTTGATATTGAGTAACCCTATCACCAAGTCCTTAGAGACTAATTTGTTTAGCTGATTCAGACTGGCATGACCAAGTCTTTTGTGCCACAGGAGGGGATCATTAACCAACACACTTAGGCAAGTGATTTCATTTTCTGAGAGAGTGGACAAATCTACAATGTAAATATTGTTAACTCTCTTTCCCTGCAAAACAATCTTGTCAGTGGTAAAATTAATCACAAAGCATTTAGTAGAGGTGAATGCTACAAGGTTACCTCTGTCACACAGTTGTGACACACTGATCAGGCTATATTTCAAGCCATCTATCAAGTAGACATTCTCAATGGAGTGAGAGTGTGTCTTACATACCTTTCCAACCCCAATGATCTCACCTTTCTTTCCATTACCAAAGGGGACATTACCTCCTTTTAAGTCTTCAAGTGAAAGGAACTGGTCCTTGTTCCCAGTCATATGTTTTGAGCAGCCACTATCCATATACCATATTTGGCTACTTCCTTTCACTTGGACCTGCAAAAAGAAATCAGGGGTTAATCTTTGGAACCCAAACTAGTTTGGATCCCTTTCTATTGGCAAAATGATGAATCAAATTCCTTCTTGCCCACCCAGGCAGCTTACTTTTTTCTTGAACAAAGGCTTTGTTCTTTTGACTGGCCTTTTCTTTTGCATTACATTCACTTTTGTAATGGCCAGTCTTGCCACAGTGTGTGCAATTTTATTTTCAGGAAGTGTGAGGTACTTGCTTTTAGGGTCCCACTTTGGTGCTTGAGTCCCATAGCCAAGTCCTCTTTTGTTGCTACTGTGATGCTCTTGCAACCAAGAAAGTGCATCAGAAGCCTTGTTCCATTTGCAAGTTCTGTCTAGTTCATGTTTCACTTTTCCTAGATCTTCTTTTAGGACTTTAATCAATTCATCCTTCTTATACAACTCATCCTTCATTTTTCCTAAGTTTTCCTCTAGAGTGAGATATGTGTGATCAACTTTCTTCTTTCCTGTTCCTAGTTTCAGTTTTAAATTTTCAGACCTAAGTTCTAGGACACTGGTGTCAAGTTCAAGAACCTGGTTCTTCAACTTAGCATTTTTGCTATCACTCTCATTAGCCCTAGACTCTAGACTTTTGCATTTTGTTTTTAGAGTTACACATTCCCTAGATAGCTATTCCTTCTCATTGTTAATTATCTCAGACTCATCAATGAAGTCTAGTAATAGTTCAGCCAGCCTTTCGTTAGACAAAAATTTAATCTTGTCTTTGAGATGAAGAATACTTACCTCTTGTTCATCATCTGATTCTCCGATGGCCATAAGGGCCTGTTCATCTCCATCTTCATCCTGTGAGTCCTTATCTGATGTTTCTCCCTAGGCAGCAACCATAGCCTTTGTTGATCCTTTGTTCCTTTTTGGTTGAACCTGTTCCTTCTTCCTGTTCCTTCGTTCAGCCCTTTCTTTCTTGCACTCAATTTCACATTGAGGGCAATTCTTGATCATGTGATCAGTCTTACCACACTTGTAGCAACCCTCATTGGTCTGTTTCTCAGGAGCCCTTGGTTTGTTGAAGGTTGTACCTCTTGAAGAACCCTTTCCTCTCATCAGGTACCTTTTGAAATCTCTTGTGATCATTGCCATTTCATCATCCTCCAGATCTGAACCTTCAGCAATTCTGAGAGCCAGACTTCTTTCCTTCTTGGGTATATCCATCTTCATGGTTTGCCTTCTCAGTTCATAGGCAGTAGGATTTCCAATTGGTTCATCCAGCTTGAGTGTAGCAATATTCTTAGATTCCTGAATAGCAGTGATTTTGCTTTCCCATGAGACTGGCAGAACTCTTCTCAAGATTTTCTCAACCTTGTCTTCTTCAAGAATAATCCTTCCAAGAGACTTAAGTTCATTTGTCAGTGTAGTGAACCTAGTATACATCTCTTGGATAGTTTCTCCTTCCTTCATAGTGAAATTCTCATATTGAGAATACAACAGTGTTCCTCTGGACCTCTTCACTTAAGGCGTTCCTTCATGAGCCACTTGCAAAGTGTCCCAGATTTCCTTAGCAGTGGTACAACTTTGGATCCTGCTGTACTCATCTGGACCTAGTCCACACACAAGCTATTTCTTAGCCTTAGCATTTTTCTCCCACTTCTTCAGGTCTTCGGCAGTGCAGTCAGCTCTTGTCTTTGGCACATCAACTCCTTCAGCATTCTTCTTTGAGGTTGCTAGAGGACCATCAGTGACTATGTCCCAGAGTTCATAGTCTTCCCTTATGATGTGATCCCTCATCCTGTTCTTCCACCAAGAATAATACTGGCCATTGAAGAGTGGAGGCCTAACAGTGGATTGCCCTTCCCAGTTCCCAGGTAGTGCACTCATGTTGATCTTCTCCTAAGGTGTTAGCCTCTTCAAGGATAACCTGCTCTGATACCAATTGATGTTCTAAACGTCAATACCACACAAGAGGGGGGGTGATTTGTGTGGTACCCAATTTTCTATCTAGAAGAACCAAGTTCTTCTAAGTGATCTAACTACTACTATTTGCGGGATTAAAAGTACATAAAATAAAGAACACAAAGATTTTTACGTGGAAAACACCTGGCTCAAAAGGTGAAAAAATCACGACCTACTACTCAGTAGGATTTTCCCAAACTTCCACTAAAATCACTGAGCCAAAACAGCATTTACAAAAACTCTTTGTAAATCTAAGGATTAACTCTAATCCCTTTGTAGCACACAGCCTCAACTGTTGCGACAACTTCAAGTTAGCCTATAACTTGAATACTCAAAGTACCTATTACAATTGCTTCTATAAAAGCTGAAAGGTACAACTTTAATCCACCTACTACAATTGAACTAGAAATAAAGAAAGACACATAAAACTCTTTATGAAGCTGATTCTTCAATCTTGTTCAAGTAGCTTCAGGAGTGCACACTTAAATCTCACATAAATTGTTTGCAAAATCGCCTTGCTCTTTTGCTCTCAATTTAGTTTTACTTCTGCGTATGTGCAACACCTGTAAAAGAGAACAATCACTGTTATTTAATGAGTTAGTAATTAGAGTTTGATTGAGACTCAATTGCTGATCTTCCATCGAAATTGAGTCCTTGAACAACACAAACTCCAACCCTATCTTTTATCCGGATTGTATTCTCTTCTCATAAGGAGACTTTCTCTCCTTATCCTATATGCAACCTTTTCGATCAGTTCAGGAGATATTGCTGCTTGATCAATGGGACTTATCTCCTTCACGTGCATCTCACATGTATAGGTTGACAAACACTGTGCTTCACATGATGGACCTGGTCCATGACTGAGTTCATTTGTCATTCTTCAAAACTTCACCTGTTCTTGGGCCAACATTATCCCTACCTTGTGCAGGTAGCTTTGTCTCGTTATATAGTCTTTGCAATTCTAATCTCATGAATTAGCTTTCGCGGTTGAGTTAGATCAAAGTACTTTTTCGTCACATGGTATTAGAATCAGACCCATCCATAGTTATTCTTGGTTTACCCAATATCGTACCCCATGTTACGTTGTCCATGCTTCGGACGCCCAATTGTAGGAGTTGTTTTTTTTTTTAGGGGGGGGGGGGTTGGGGG